TATTATTACGACCTCTCGATAACTTTTATTTGTATTTTTTCATTGATAATGTGATAAAATAAAATATATTGTTGTCACAATTTTTTTTATATTTTTTTATTTACATTTAAACGGTGTAATTTGTACGTTTTATTTACTCTACGTTTTTCAGAAATAGAGAGTAAATTTTTTATCTTTCATCAATAACAAATTTTTTTCACACTGGTTAATTTTTTCAGTGTGTATCACGAGAATCACAGTCTTTCTCTATCCGTTTTACGATCCAGATCCATCTAATTAATATCCGTTCACTACAACAATCAAGAAATCTGGCCTAAAATCGTCTCTGTGCGAATCAAATCTCGATTCTTCTCATTACAAAGAAGCTTATTTTGCCACTTGAGCTACCCCTTTTGGGTTACAATTGTCTATTTTAACGATAAACAAAAAATATCACTTTCATCCGAAAATGGGTACTACTCTTATTATTACGCCCTCCCGATAACTTTTGTTTATATATTTTCATTGATAATTTGATAAAATAAAATATTCATGTCACGTAATGTTTTATATATTTATTTATTTACTTTTAAACGGTGCAATTTGTACTTTTTATTTACTATCCCTTTTTTCAGAAGGGCGGGGTTCCCAAGACATTGGAATCCAATGTCATGGGATGACCCGGGGGTGCTTCAGTGACCAGTTCGTAAAATTGATGGTTCCTACCCCGCCTAACCCCCCGGTAAACCCCCTACTCCAAAGTCAAAATCAACTTGTGGGGTGTAATTGAAGGGGGTGGGTGGGTGTGTTCGGGTTGGGGCGGGGTGGGGGAGTTTACCGGGGGGTTAGGGGGTGGAAATCGTCAATTTTACGAACGGGGCACCGGAGCACCCCGGGTCATCCCATGACATTGCCGGGATGTCATGGGAACCTTGGTGTTTTCAGAAATAGAGAGTAAATTTTTCATCATTCATCACAAACATGTATTTTTTCACACTTGTGGATTTTTTTGGTGTGTATTACGAGAATCACGGTCTTTCTCTGCCCATTTTATAATCTGAATCCACCTAATTAATTTCTATTCGCTCCAAGAAGCAAGAAATCTGGACTAATGGAAATTGTGGTTTATGCGAATCAATTCTTGGTTCTTCTCTATGCAAAGAAGCACATTTTGCCACTTGAGGTACCTCATTTGGGTTACAATGGTTGATTTTAGCGAGAAATAAAAAATGCCACTTTCATCTCAAAATGGATAGTACTTTTATCATTATGGCTTCTCCATAACTTTTGTTTGTATATATTTTCATTGATAATTTAATAAAATAAAATATTTTTGTTACACACACACACACATATATGTATATAGTGTAATTTGTATTTTTTATTTACTCTTTTTTGAAATAGAGAGTAAATTTTTCATCTTTCATCACAACATAATATTTTTTCACACTTGTAGATTTCTTCGATGTGTACCACGAGAATCACAGTCTTTCTCTGTCTGTTTTACCATCTGAATCCACCTAATTAATTTTCATTACCTCCAAGAAGCATAGTTTTCAGAACCGAACCAGTGATCGAACCGGTCAAGGCACTGATTCACTGGTTTACTGGTCGAACCAGTGGTTCGAGTGGTTGAACCAGTGGTTCAAACATTTTTAATAAATAGATAAATATATAAATAAATATATATAAAGAAATACACACACACACACACACATTGTGGCATTGAATTAAAAAAACTAATATATGATTAATAAAATAATATTTCCTCAATTTATAAATAAAGAATTGATGTTTGACTAAATTTATAATTTAACTTAATTTACTTGAGTTGTTTCATTGAATAAAAAATAAAATTTACTTATTTAAAAAATCTTAGAAAAAAAAGTGATTTGAATTTTTTCAAACATTTTATCTAGTATTTAAAAATATATATATATAATATTTGTGTGATATGCACTCCATATCAATTACTTTAATGAGTTTTGAATTTTAGTAAAAATATATACTTAAAAAATATTTGATAAAAAGAAATTTGACGAAAGAATATAAGAAACGAATAGTAGAGAATTCCCACAAAGCATTGTAGCAGAGTTGATTTGGAGACGCTTCATTTGCCCATGCAGTCATGTGTTCGAACCCAGGCATGCGTTTTTTAAAATTCTCCATAAAGGAAGTGAAAAAACCGGTTCCGCCTGTAAAACCGGCCTGTTTCTCCGGTTTCCACCGGTTCATAGCAGAATGCGGTCTGAATGCTTGGACCGGACCGGTTTGGTGTCCGGTTCTCGGTCCGAACCGGCCGGTCCGGTCCAGTTTTTAAAACTATGCCAAGAAGTATGAAATCTAGACTTTCTGAAATTGTGGTCTATGCGAATCAAAACTTTTTTCTTCTCTCTGCAAAGAATCACATTTTGCCACTTGAGTTATGCATTTGGGTAACAATTGTGGATTTTAGTGATAAATAAAAAAGGAAAAATTACCCAAAATAATCCCAACTTTACCCGATCTTTCAAAAATAATCCCACCTTTCACTGTGATGCATAATAATCCCAACTTTATTGAAATTTGCCAGTTTTGGGTCGCCGTTAAGTTTCTAACGGAGGGTTAACGGAAATGCCCGTTTTGGGCAACAAAATGAAAGTTGGGATTATTTTTGATGAATTTTTGTTTTTTAATTTTTTTTGAAATTTTTATTTAAAATTTTTGAATTACTTTCAACCTCAATTTCTTTTTCTTTTTTAAAGATTATTCTTACCTTAGAAAAAAAAGATATAAAAATAATGAAAATGAGAAAAATAACTAAAACCATACAAAATTAATCAAATAAATAATGTAATCAATAGAAATTAAACAGAAACTGGTAAGAAATAAAATAAATATATACGGAGTGGTGGGTTTTAACATTTTACACACTATACGGAGTCTTAATGTACTACTTCTTTCGTCCCAGAGTATTTGTCCACTTTCATTTTTACACACCATCCAATACACTTCTTTAATCCATTTTATCTTGTAATTTGTATATTAAATAATTATAGAAATTATATATTGATAATCTATATGCTAAGACAAATCAAACAA